AGAGACTCGTACTGATAATGTGCTGTAGAGAGAAAGAGAGAGAGAGAGAGAGAGAGAGAGAGAGAGAAAAGAAAAAAAGATAAGCGTATTTTATAAAGAACCAAAGTTGTATATTTATAAAAAAGAATAAAAAATACAATGATAATAATTTTTAAGGACAAATGAGTACAATTATCATTTATTAAGCCCCTGTTTGATTCCCATTTTTGGAATAAAATGAATTATGGAATAATAGTTTTTTGGAGAATGTGTGGTTAAAAAGTAAGGAAAAGTTTTTGAAATTCGTGTATAATTATTTTATAGAAGAATATGTGATTAAAAATGAGTTTTAAAAAAATGCATTCTTGAAAAAATGGGGATCAAAGAAGGGTTAATAAACCTATCATTTACAACACACAAACCAGTTTACGTACAAGTAGCTTAATTCTCTAATCTAATTATACGACCCGAACCAGGGCCGGGACACTGGTTCATCTTGGTGCACCTCTATCGCTACAAAAGATCGCATCATTGCTGATTCCCCATATAAAATATTATATTCCGTTAATATTTTCATTTAGAGAGAGAAAGGGAGAGGGTCGAATTCTCTGTGTTCGAACTCGTCAATCGACGAAGTAACAGCGAGGAAACCCTAACCCTGTACCCTTTATTCGATGATTGATTCTAAGTCTGTACCAATTATTAATCTGGAGTAAGCTGATTGAATTGTAAAAGAACAATGGGGGAGCTAGGGCAAGAGACTATGGATTTCAAGGCGCTGGTGGGCCGCGCCGCTACAGAGTCGTATGTATTGCTGAAGGAATTGGTGGAGAAATCTAAATCTGCTGAACTCTCTGACTCGGAGAAGAAGATTATGATCCTTAAATATATTGTTAAAACCCAGCAGCGAATGCTTCGTCTCAACGTCCTCTCCAAATGGTGTCAACAGGTCGCTCTTTCCCCCCTTGAATACTCTATTCTTTTTAATTTGTATCAAAATCTAGAAATTTTCTTGGAGCGTGGTTGTATTAATAGGAATTTGATATCACATATTTTCGGTGATGATGTTTCTGTCATGTCCTTTTACTAGGGTATACTTTGTTTATTGTTTGGCTAGTGAGGAAAGAAACAAAATTTGTATGTGGTTTTTATTGAGCTGGGAAAAGCCAGTGAATGGGGGCCGTGGAGAAATTTTTTTGTTGATAATAGATAGAAGATTTAGATTATATATTTGACAATTCATATTGCAACAAACTTGGTTAGCTCGTCCACTATTGAATTGGAGGTCCTGTGTTCGAAGTTCTTCGAAGAGCTATATTTTTTATAACTTTTGTATTTCAACAATTTTTACCAAAACAAATGCAACGAAGATTAGAACCTCCTACCTTCTTAAACATATTAACCACTTTACCATCACGGCATTTTTAGCACATAATGTAACAAAATAATATATGTTCAATTTTACTGGTTTAACGTAAGTAGAAACATTTTAATCGGTGCTTTGTCACTCCACTTGATTTTCTTTTTCTTTTATTTTCTGTCATTTTTTCCCATGTAATCAATTAACTTGAAAGTTTGGTCAATTAATGGTGGATGAATTTGTAGGAAAATTGGCCTTAGTATCATATGGAATCTTTCAACAAAATTGATTTAGTGAATAAAAGGTTCCATTTTTTGTTCACAAAAAATCGATTGCGAAAAAGTGGAATCATAAATGCATATAAAATTGATATAAACACATAAATAATTTCAATTTTATTAATATATTAATGCTTGTTTAATTAACTTTAATTGTAAACTTAATATTGACATTTTGTTAATATATATTGCATATTTAATTGAAAAATAAATTAGGATTTTTACATATTATGGAATGATTTTGTCATCCAATATAAAAGTTCGTACCTAGTTTTAGTTCTAGTGGTGTATTTAGTTCTTCTAGTTCTACTCCGTACAATTTTTTGAACATTATTTAATTAAATATTAATAAACAACCCCGCTATCACGGATGTTGGTCGTCGATAGTAAGCTTTCAACGCTTACGGTCTGTCCTAGCTGAACTTGACCCTTGGATTCGCCCCTGCAGTGATGGGCAATTAAGAGAGTTGCTATGGTGGACTGGGTGCCAATGAGAAAAAATAATTTCTACTAGATATATCACCATTATTAAAGATATGTAGTTATGAATGTGAGAGGCTATGATGCACCGATACGGACACGCGTGTCCGACACGATACGTATCGGATACGTTGACTCGTGATTTTTAAAAAAGGTACCAATACGATACGTCGTCGACACATTAATTAAATTCTTTAAAATTCTTCATTTATATAGTATAAATTAATTTTAAAACTTATTATTGATTTTTTTTGTTGAAATCTTTTAAATATGATCACTTATTTGTTATTTACTAATAATTTTGAGTTAAAAATATATAATAACTATATTAAGAAAGAAAAATAATTATTGTAGAGTGTCCGAAAGAGTATTGGTATCGATACGTGACACGTGCACGCTACTCTAGTTAGAGTGTCCGTGCTACAGAGTTGAGAGGTAGTGCTCCTTTGTATAGTTGGTTGAGCAATTCTGAATTTGGAATCTAAATGTGTTGGGCTAAATATAATTAAGACATAATACTCATTGTCACTTTAGTTATAGTAAGAATTGGGATAATAGTAAAGTTACTATGGATGATCTCTTTGTCCTTAGAAGTGATTGTTTTATTTACGTAATGCATGAGATTGGAGCGAGGTGGATGAGAGGTCAGTAGCTATGTTTAATTGTATAGAGTTATGATCCACTGACACGTTTCCATTTTTAGCATTCACTGGATGTTTAATTGTATAGAGCTATGATCCACTGACACGTTTCCATTTTTACATTCATTGGATACCAACACGACTATCTCTGGTTTTTTTATTTTTATTTTTATTTTAAATTTTCTGCTAGACACGTCCACAATATGTGATCAACACGTGGTGGTTGGGTTTTTAAGCTGAGAAAAGGTACTGCAAATATAACTAAAAAAATGAAAACTAACCTTGTATCTCAATATACGTTGAGATTAGTGGTGTATTTCTTTATTTCCTCCCTTACGGCACAATTTTTACACACTTCGGCACTGGCTCTCACTCTACTCAAACAGACTTATTTCAAGAAAACCCTAACCTTTTGAGGTCACAACATGCCTTCTCAAAATGCAAACTAATTTAAATACATCTTCATTACCCATTTAAAATAAGTTGGTCAAATGAGTTCAAAAAGTCAGCCATTTTTTCAATTTAAAGTTGCCTTTTTAACCATTTAAAAATAATAAAGTGGACATATGTCCCTAAAATATTCTTTGAAATAAAGAGAGTCAAATAGGGGCTAAGATTGAAATGAGAAGAATACATGACAAGTGGAGGCACCAATTGCGGAAAAATTAAAGGAAGGACGGCAGTTGGTTGGTATATTTTGCCTAGACTTAAAGTGGCTCTTGTTCGTAAGAGTGACGCTAAGGTAGTTGGACATGCTATGATAGTGTCTAAGACACCATAGTTAAGAGGTAGGTCAATTTTGTATGTATATTTGCCAATTGGTTGACTAAATTTGAAAGGTCATCCGCTTTTGGATGAACTTTGTATAGAAAAAAAATTGTTCCTTTCGTACAAGAATAAATTTTAAATAATAATCTTTTAAGAGATATTTCTCACCATGTAATTAAGAAGAGTGTCATTCTTCTTTGGTTAAAGTGAACTTGTTGTGGTCATTTTTGCACATTTATAAAAAATGTCATTGGCTTCTTGTTGAATCTCCTTACACTTTGAGCTTATCCTCCAAGATGGCTTGTTTGGAAAAGATGCTTCTATTATAAAATAAACCCAATGCTAAATATGAGTTGTTGGTGGAAGGTCTTGTGGCCTTCATGGAATCTTTACAAGTATAACATCTGATAGTTTTGTATGAGATGTTGCCTTCCTTTCTTACATGGCTGATCTCCTATTTATAACTTGAGTTAATGAGTTGAAATGGTTTGAATGGTTTCCTTGTTGTTGGAGTTTTTGCGCTCATCTCCTAAACTCTTCAATCACAAGACAATGCAAAATTCTCCTTCATGAGCATGACATTTATCAACAATGATGACCAAATGCCGTGTTGGATAAGAACGAAGGAAAATAATCTAAAAGAAAAAATAAAATGGCTCACCACCTAAGTAAGAACACTTAAAGGGATATAGTTATCATCACCGGAAGGAATGTAACAAGGTGTACACTGTAGGGAACTCATCATTCTTAAGGAACCCACCAAATAATTCCGAAGAGAGACCAAGTTTTAAAGAGATGGATAACGCCCCTAAAATGAAGTAGATTAAATTCAATCTATTGAAGATTGCAATTCACACTAATAGTATGAGTATGCATGTATTTTCTTTTGTGTGTACATGTATCCTGAGTGTTTGAACATGAATTCTGCTAATACATTAGACTTATCATCCTCATTCAAAGTTCGTTGGTAGATAATTATTGTGGAATACCAACGTTCATTATATTATTATTTATTCAACCATCATTTCTTATGTCTAGAATAACTAAAGTGTGACTTTGCTTTCTTCTAGGCTAGTAAATGACTCTCCTACGTCATTTACTCAGCACTTAGTACTTAACATTCTTTTAAGACATTCCCCATCAGGAAAACGTCTCTATTGCAAATTATATTTATATTTCCTCGTTTTTACTATCAATTCAAATAGCTACACTTAATTACACATCTGGTTATAAATATACTTGTGGCGTTTTGATTCCATATATTTAAAAATATTATTGTTGGTATTTCCTTGTCAAAGTAAGTCATGGTATGCATGAATGTCATATATTTCAATAGCTGAAGAAAAATATCTCAGTGAAAGGTTCCAAATGGCTATCTCAGCTTCATTTCCTTTGCAAATTCACGTTTCTTGACTTGCAGGTTCCTTTGATACG